CTAAAAACTTTTTATACTTCCCTAAATTTGGAACAAACTCTGGGCTATGTTTAGAGGCAGAATTTTTCATTGACAAGCTGCTTGTTTTCTAGGAGAGAGAATCCAGAATCAGAGCTGAAACACATGAGATTAATTAAGTTTCATTCTGGCAAGAGGTGTCTTAGATGACTCTAACATTATTAGACATTCTCTTTCCCTTTGCAAGAGCCACTGTATGCCTTAGGCAAAGGCGTTTCTTCCTCTTCTGTGCATTTGTACCCTAATCATAGGCAGGAACTAATGATGCCTATATTCAATGTTCTTCAGAGCCATCTGGCTAATAAAACTTCAGGTGGTTTTTAGAAGGAAAACCCACTTTCAAATTTAACTCATTTCTATTATCACCCTTCCTCTTCAGAAATCTAAAAACTGAGAATTGCTGACAATTTTTCTCTGCTCTACCTTCACTGCTCCAGAAAGTTTGTACTTCTCTTTGACATATTCATGAGAGAGCAGAGCTGTGATTAGAAATGCCTCTGTTGCACATCCTTGTATATACCTATGGAATACAAATTAATAGGCTACTGTATACAAATTTGGCCAAAGCTATACTTATCCTAACTAGATTAATTAATATCTATAGTGCACTACTTCCTCCTGTATATTTTCTCAATTGCTTTCATATATCTTGAGTGGTAGGACAATACCTTTGAAATCTTCGCTGGACATTCCCTTTAGAAAAATGTTTCTGCAGTCATATCCCAATGCTTTCTTATATGGGCATATACCACCTTATTCTCCCCAAGGTTCAGTGTCTTCAAATGTAACCAGAAATATACCACATCCTGAATTAAATAAAATGTTTCTTATATTCTTTTTGGTCAGTAATATGTGAGGTTAACTTCTAATAACAAACCTAACATGTCCATTCCCAGTATGCAATCCCATTTTCTAGGCCCACAACTTGGGCTGCAGCTCAATGGGAAATTTCTGATAAGCATCAGGGGCTTCCCAAATAGACATGTGCTTCCTTTTTCTTCCATGAAGCCTTCCCTGATTACTCCAGCCCAAAGCCATTGTTCCCACTTTTGAATTACTAAAGCATTTATGTTCCATAATACACTCAGGTAAATTACTGATCACTGTATTTATAGCTAGAAGTAGCATTATAATGAACAAATCCATTCCCCTACCACCATGTTTCAGATGAAGAAGCTGAGAACCAGAAAGATCAAATAGCTTTCTCAAATTCATACAGCTGGCTATTGGGTGACCTAGAACCAGAATTCAGAACTTCTTACTCCTAGTCCAATGCCATTTACCTCCTTAAAGACACACCAACCACCCGTCACTTACTTTACTCCGTCTTCCATTATCTTTTGGTGTCTTTTCCCTCAATAAGGCTATAGCTTGCATCCCATATCTTGAGGGCAAGCATCATGTTTTACACCTTTTCAATTCCACCAAGAAGATGTGGCAGAGTACCAGCAAGAGAAAAATCACCCCACAGGCATCTGTCAATTGACTGATTTAATCAAGCAAGTCTCTTCATCTAACTCAGTTCTGCAGTTAACATTTAGCCTTCTCTGAGACTTTTGTCTCAAAACACTTTGATCAGCCTCAAAAGCCATGTCATGACAAGACTGGAATTGTATTTACATCATTAGTACTTAATGTCTCATCCATCCAACCATTTCTAACAATACTGAGTGACGATGATAATAGCTAGACTAACAGATGAAAAAAGGATTATAATAAATAGCAACCTTAGGTACTATTGCCTCCTTACCTGGAGTGGGAGAAAAGTAAGAATCAGTATACTGAAGGAGCAAAGCAACAGCAACACAACTATTGCTGAGCAGAGGAGCCACATCTTCCAGGATGATCTCGGTGCTCCTTGAGGACTTGACTGGCTTAAAGGCATAGTCTCCATGTGGCTCAGTCTCATTTTCTGGAGGAATGACAGCTGCAGAAAGCCGATATTCACAAGTGATGACTGAACGATGCAATGTCATGTTTTGTAGTGTTTATGATAATTAGAAGTGGGTGTGGGAGGTGGAGTTTTCCTTCTGACATCAAATTGGAAAACGATACTTCCAGGCTAAGTGCTGACTTTCATTTGGCACCAGACCAAATACACTGAAAGGAACGGAAGGCTAAATGCCAATACATACACACAGAGGCTAAAAAAAAAACCAAAAAACACACACACACAAGGGAAGTTCAGAGATTAAAAAGAAAAAAAAAAAAGAAATTCTTTGATGCAATGTCATGTTTTGTAGCGTTTATGATAATTAGAAGTCCACTGGGTATAATTCAACTGAAGTTCACTCAAATGGAAGGAGGTAAAGTGTAAGTATTTTTAGAGAAAATATTTTTTAATCTGAGGGAGAAACAAAATTAGAAAAAAGTTCAGAGCTTTAACATCCTCATTTAGAAAAGAAGAAACTAAGGTTAATAGAGGTTGAGCGGTGACACTGTTTGCAGCAGTGTTTCTCACTGATTTGTCATAATTTTAGCTTAGCCCTATTTTACCTTAATCAGTAAACTATCTCTGAAGAGAACAGTCACAGAAGAATAATTTTGCAGTACAACAAATGCTTTTGCATCTCTGTACAAGATGCTGTGATGCAGGGATAGGTAGTAAACTGACTCTAAAAAAAGAATGATCGGGCTGGCCTGTGGCTCACTCGGGAGAGTGCGGTGCTGATAACACCAAGGCCACGGGTTTGGATCCCATATAGGGATGGCCGGTTTGCTCACTGGGTGAGCGTGTTGCTGACAACACCAAGTCAAGGGTTAAGATCCCCTTACTGGTAATCTTTTAAAAAACAAATAAATAAAGAAAGAAAGAATGATCTAGGGCCGGCCCCGCAGCACACTCGGGAGAGTGCGGTGCTTGGGAGCGCAGGGGCGCTCCCATCGCGGGTTCAGATCCTATATAGGGATGGCCGGTGCACTCACTGGCTGAGCGCGGTGGGGGCGACACCAAGCCAAGGGTTGCAATCCCCTTACCAGTTTACCAGTCACAAAAAAAAAAAAAAAAAAAAAAAAATCACAAAAAAAAAACAAAGAATGGTTTAACTTGCACTGGTATCAGGTCTGGAATTCATAGACAAAAACTCAGAATTTAAAACTGACCACTGAAAATTTTAACTATTTTTCTTCTTGCTTTGCTGACCTGCTCCTTCTCCTGTCTCCTCTCCAAATTTTAGATAAAACTGCCTCTGCTTACTCACTTCTGTAATCATGTATTCACATGAGGAACTGTTCCAAACAAAATCCAGTTTCTCTTTTGCCCTTAACCAAGGTTAGGCTCTGGTATATCTTGATGTGTTATTTTAACCTTCTGAAAGTACCTTAAGAAAGATGACACACATATCTCAGGAAGACTACATTCCAGGGCATCTTTGCATGAAACAGGATTCAGAAATGAAGAAACTTCAAGTTAGGACGGGTGACAGTGGGGAATACTTTTTGAAACTCTAAGAGTAATGAGTCACACAATGGGTACCTTTTGGGTGTAAGCTACCAGGATTTTATGTGACATCTCAGAATATGACAAGAGGTAAATAAATGAGCACCAAATGCAAACTTTTATGTATGGCCTGTCATTGGTTCAAATACTTGGAAATGAGATTTTTTTTTCAATTAGGTCCAACTAGCAAAATCATGTTGAACATTGATTATCTGCCCACTACTATGCTAGGAGCTTTGTGGGATATCAAGAAAAAAAAAAATCACAGCTGCCAAGGAATTTGTCACCCAACCAGATTAAAACCTTACACTTGGGGAGACAGATGCCCAAATGAATAAATACTATATATAGGACAGTGCCTCTGAAACCAGAAAGATCTAAATAAGATGATATAGTTAAAAAGACAAGTTAGAAATGGGTTGTTTGAGAAGAGAAAGGAGGGTACTCTTTCTTGAGGGAGTAATAAAACTTAAGGAGTAAATATTCAGAGGTATGAACATTTGTAAATGTTACAAATTAAAATAAGAAAGTCTGAACAATGACAAAACCCCAAACTTTTTAATGGACCTTAGTAGTTTTCATTGAAGAGCTGCAAAATGAGGAATTTCAGGAAAAACCAGTAAAAGAAAATCTTCTTTCTTTATTTTTCAGATTGGAGAAAAAAAAAATCAAGATATGCTTGATTAAGCCATTTTAACTGTATTCATGGCTGCTTTGAATTCAGAATAAATTAGTCATGTAGCAACTTGGCTGTAGTTCGGTTATCAACTAAATCACACTAAAATGCATTAGGCGCTCTCCGTGCACAAGCAACTACATTTATACATCAAGCAGCCCTGTATTTTCTTCATCCATAAAAATGATGAAAGTGACATTTGAGAGGATGAATCATTTACCCGTAGAGGTAGATCAGAAATTGAATCCCCATCTGTTGAACTCCAAAACTTGTGTTTTTTCCATATCTATGCTGAAATGTGTCAATGACATCCTGTAAACAGAGTAAGAAATATATTAAATCTGTGAGAGAGCATCTGTGAACTTCAGTTTTCTCTATAATCCTGCATTATTCAGGTCTGCCCTCTTCACCACATTCCCCTTACATAACTGTTTATCTTGATTTTATCCTTGTAATAGTGTATGCTGTAGTATATTCAGTCAGAAATATCCAATGCATCAGAACTCTGTAAGAAACGATAGACAACTGATTTTGCCCACTCTGGGTAGCAGAGTATTCATTGTTATGACAAATAGAGCTCACTTGGGTTGAAGATTCATAGATGGATAGACATAAATAAACAGACAGACTGACATGAAAAAATGCACAGAGAGACAGAGACATGGCACATGAATAGGGTTTTAAACTTAAAATGTTATGAAGGCAACAACAGTATATTAAAATTAATAAATGTCTAGTCCGTCAGGAGAATTGTGTACAGCTCACTGTACAAAAATAGATATATGTGTATATTTATATATGTATGTCTATATAAACACGTATGCATATTATATGTACAATAAATTCTAAAAGATAAACAGGGGCTTCTCATACCAATCTCCAGATCATCCTCTCTAAAGAACTAGTAAAAGCCCTAATCAAGATGATCTAGGAAGTAGTTCAAATTCAAACTGTGTTTTGATTCCACAACCCAGGAATCATCTTCTATGCCCCAGATTGTCTTGCTTTATGCTATCTGTTTTTGCATATCCACTTTTTTGGAGACTTCACCAAGTTCTTCATTGTTTGTCTATGTTTTACTAGCTCAAGTACAGCCTTTAAGCAACAAGGCTATTGGCCGATTTCCCTGGAAGCCTTCTTGTGCTGGCTGCTTGCCTTACCGTTAATATTTTAAATGGCTGTGTGGTCGTGTAGTTCCCCGTCTCTTTAGCCTGAGTCCTCTGACAGCGGCATGTTGTTTTGGGGGGGTGTATGTGTGTGTGCATCCTCTCTAGACTAATACTCAGCACTTTGTCGGTATTCTGGCCATGGGAGGATTATTTTAAACCTTTTTAATGGGAAGAATGACATCCTGCTTAGAATCTGGTCTGAAAACAGACTTTCCATTGTGCAATATGGCATGACACTTCCTATTTGAAATCATCAGACATTACCCTAGAAGTTGTAATGTATGGACATCATTGCCAAATATCACATAGATTGCCAGAGAATTACGTATTTTACCTATCAACCAAGTTGAAATTAAAGGGTCATAAGACTCCTGAGACTAAGTGTTCCCCCCAAATCTGGGTTTCTTTGGACAGCCCTGGAAGAGGGGGTATGAGGTAAATATTTTCCCTTTACTCTTCTATTTGATCTCTCCATTTGGCAAGATCCTAAAATTTCCCCCTCTGAACTACCACACACCAGTCCAGCAGAAAACAGTCAGCAATTCACTGCTTTCAACACCCAACTATGATATGAGCTTTGTAGAAATCCATGAGACACTTTTCTTATCTTATTTTCCATTTTTAGCCCTGACCTTGCACCACTCCGTTTACATATCCTTATTCATGGTTAGATTTGTTGGTTTTGGCACAGGAAGCTTAAATGAGTAAAGAAAGATTTTGGCTTTTCTATGTGAAACAATTCCTACATACACCAGAAGGACACGTTATTTCCCTTGTTCATTAAGAAAACATTATCCAGTGCCTTCTCTGTACCAAGTGCAATATTAGGAGCTTGAATGTTGATTGATAAGGGTCAGTCCCTATCTTCAAATATATTATTGTTTTGTTTTGTTTTTACAGGTAAGTGGGAAAAGAGACAAACATATAAGGCCAATACAGGGAAAAGTACAGAAATAGAGTGAGTACCAAATTCCTGCCCTTCCTCAGGAGAAGGGGAAGTTTTATAAAGGAGGTAATGTCGAGGCTGAAATATAAGTGTATGTGCATGTGTGTGTCCCACAATTTTTAGGCATTTTACTTGACAATGGAGAAATAAAGAAGAGTAAGACAAGGTCTCTGAAATTAAGGAATCCATTGTCTTCTCCTCGCTGGTTGTTTTACATTCAAGCCTTCCAAAATTGCATTGCAAATATAAATTGGCAATTATAGATCTTCTTTGTATAACCTCTTGTAAATTCCCCACAGAGTTCCCGACTAATTCAAATCAGGTGAGAATTGACTAAGCATCTAGAGTTGTTCAGGCCAAGCTACTCATCTATCCAGTTTGGTGATTCTAACCATGAATACAGTAGGATGTTCCTCTACAAAGAGGAAAGTTCGTGCTGGTATGCCAGTGGAAAAAGCACTGAATCACAGGCAATGTTATGGAATGCTACTTGATGACATGGTGCCAACCGAAGGGAACAGTGAGTTTCCATTTGCTAAATAAAGAACAAACACCCCCAAGGAATTACATATAAAAATCATACCAAGATAAGGCTGAAATTATTTCAGGTCTTTCCTCAACCATCAAGCCTAAGGGAAATCTCTTTGGCTGAAGGTAAAGATATTCCCCCACCCTACACGTACACAGCCTCCTACATCTCCTCCCAGTCGGTCCCTCAGCACATGGATGCCTAGGTTATGTTGGGT